AGCAAAGATTGCACATGTATTGCAAATCATAGCAAGAAAAATCCTCCCTTTCAGAAATTGGGGAGAACCATACACAAAAACTATTCTCCACTAACAGTGGCTTTAATGTTCTCATAGGTATGGTGGTTTTTCCTTGGGAGCCAGCAGCTCCCTTGTCCTTCCTCGACGTGAAGAAGTGAATGATGCCATCAGGCAGGTGAAGAAAATCTTGGAGATCACCAAGGTAAACAACTCAGAGAGGTCTTTCCTAGAAGAAATCACATAGCACAAGTTGGTTACAATATTAAGGAATATTTTCTGGCTCGGCTTTGCTGATTTGTTTGGAACACTGGGAATCCATATATATGGTCAGGAGAGGAATAGGGTAGGAAAGAATCCAGAATTTAATAAAAGGGCAGTTCTATATCTCTACTCACTAGTAAGTCCTACTGAATTGAATGGATTTTAAGAGTGGGTAAATGGGTACAGAATTATAGCCTAAGTGACCAAATATGGGCATATTGCAATTTGTGGCTTTTATTTTCTTTTTAGGGCAGCTCTGCAGAACGTTTTCTTAACAGCCTAGCAAGCTTCATGAAGGGCATGGACACAAAAGATAATGTGAAGGTAATATCTTATTGTTGTGCTTGGGTAGCCAGCTCCAAGTTGTTCAGAAGTCTTAAACTTTTGATAGTGGAAGCATTTTTATGCAATTAAACTTAGAGACAAACGTTCAATGTAGCATCCAAGAGAACACAATCTCAGAGGAACCTATAATTTGTGTTTCTGCATGAACCTCTGATCTTCGAGAAACTAAGCCTGGAGCAGTGACTTAAGTAGAGCAACTGGGAATGGAGTAACAACTCATGTAGTATTCCTGCATCAGGATACTACTGGACTGACCCCATAATACCAAGGCAGATTCACAGCAGAAATAACTGTATTCAGCAGTGGCTGATTGGAGATAGGGAAGGCCAGACAGTAAGTCATAAGCACACTTAATTTGGAAGCAATTCTCATTGAACACAGTGGGGTTTACTTCAGAGTAAGTATGTACTGCAGTGACAGAGATGCTGCAGACAGTCTTATCAGTGGTTGGCTACTTTGGGATCATTGGTGTTTTTATTTATTTATTTATTTGATTATTTTTTTCTTCATGGCAACTGAGGCCTAATCTGTACTGAAGAATTAATGCAGTTTGACACCACTTTAACTGCCATGACTCAGTGCTATTGAATCCTGGGATTTGTAGTTTCTTGTGGCACCAGAGATCTCTGACAGAGAAGACTAAGGGCCTTTACAGAGCCGCCCCTGGGAGCGGCAGATTGGGGCCATGGCAGCCACACGCCACGGCCCCGATCCTCCCTTTTGCCGCCCCCAAAAGAGCGGCAAAATGCTGCTGCTTTTAGAGGCAGCAAAAGGTCACCCTAAGAGCCAGTGCCGCAGTTCTTCCATGCCCTTTTGGCAGAGTGTGTGTACATGCTGTGCCAGGAGGGCATCCTGACACTGCGCACTGTGTGGACGGGCGCATGGTGTCAGGACGGCGTCAGGGTTGAGTTGGGGCGGCCGGCGTGCGGCTGCCCCGCCCCAACTCCACCCCGAGGCTGGCCTTTTAGACTGGTCTGTATAGCCCCTAAATAGCTCACAAAACTACAAACCCTGGGATTCCAAAGCATTGAACCAGGGCAACTAAAGCAATGTCAAACTGCATTATTTCTGCCAAGCAGGTTAGACCTAAGGCAGGATAATGGAAGCATTCGCCCATCAGTATTTTAGTAGCTTTTGCATTATGTTTGGCATTTGCTTGGTTAAAAAGAAATAGCCAGTCTCAGACAATTTGATGCCCAGGTTTGAGTACTCCTGCCAAGTGATTGGCATTTCTCTCCTTCTCCACTCATGCCAGTATGTCCCCTTTTCAGGTGTGGTTCAACAACAAAGGCTGGCATGCTGTGGGTGCCTTCCTCAACGTGATCAACAATGCCATCCTCCGCGCCAACCTGCAAGAGGGAGAGAATCCCAGCACCTACGGCATCACGGCTTACAACCACCCGCTCAATCTCACTAAGCAGCAGCTCTCCGAAGTTGCCTTGTACGTCCAGGAATGGTAGTATGTGGGAGGAGGTGGAAGGGAAGAACATGAAACAAGGAATGTGGGGAACAACTGCAGTTCTTGAAATCAAATGGGATTGAAATTGAAAATCTTGAAATCAAAAGGTCAGCAGTTTCTGCTGCTATAGCGCCAGACAAATGTGTTTCATTTAATTATTACAATCCCTCCAATGAGTTCATGAATTGTCTACTTGTCCCCCACTTTATCCTCACACTACATTGTGAGATAGGTCAGGTTTAGAGAGGATGTGGCTGGCCCAAGGTCTCCCATTGTGTATCATGGCTCAGTGAGAACTTGAACCTAGGTTTGCGTAGTACCAGGTTAACATTCCAGCCATCACACTCCACTGGCCCTCAGATATATGCCAGGGCTTAAAGTAAAATTGGGCTCCCTACTGGTATTCCTAGTCGAGCATCTAGTTGAGCTAAGAATTTCCTTATTTCAAGATGAAAGCCGTTTTTTCACTCTTTTCACATCTCTTTTTGCTCAGGATGACGACCTCAGTGGATGTTTTGGTCTCCATATGCGTCATCTTTGCCATGTCCTTCGTTCCAGCCAGCTTTGTGGTTTTTTTGATCCAAGAACGAGTCAGCAAGGCCAAGCACCTGCAGTTTATCAGTGGTGTGAAGCCAGTTATCTACTGGCTGGCTAACTTTGTATGGGATATGGTAAGTCTTTATATATCTCCTTGACCCATTCTGACCAGAAAAATAGCCCTTATTGTAGCACAGCGGTTTTCAACTTTTGATCCTCCAGATGTTTTGGATTTCCAACTCCCAGAATCCTTGACTGTTGGCCATGTTGTCTGGGTCTTTGGTCACTGAAGTCCATGGAGGTCTGAAGGTTATTATTGTGAGCCTAACAGATAAGTGTAGCTGAAGTGCATAGCTTGTACCTCCAGTTACAATCTAGCTTGCTGAAAATCTAATTCAGGCCTTCATCAGAAGTAGCAGAAGGTGGCTCAGGAGTATAGACTCCCCTGGAGAAAAAGTCAAGGGTGCATGTGAATACTTCAGAGTCATTAAACATTGCCCCCTTCTCTATTGATTCACCTAGCCCTGTTGTGCCAAGAACTGGGAAAAATTCCATCTACTGTACTATCTTTGTCACATTGAAATTGCACTTGGGAAAGCTCACTTTCATATGTTTCTTGACTTAGGGTTGCATGCTTTGAAAACACCAAAATATCTGGACAAGTAATTTTACTACTATGATCATTTGCATTGTTTAACACAAAGGTTTGTGTTTGGTTTTTTTACATGTTATAGTGCAACTATGTTGTCCCAGCCACCTTGGTCATCATCATCTTCATCTGCTTCCAACAGAAATCTTACGTGTCCTCATCCAACCTGCCAGTGTTGGCTCTTCTCCTCTTACTCTATGGGTAAGAAAGAGCCTCTTGTTTAGTTGCTGAGAGACCAGTCAAGATGTAGGAATGAAACTCCTTAATGCCTCATCTTTTCTATTTGCCAGGTGGTCCATAACTCCTCTCATGTACCCAGCATCCTTTATATTCAAGATCCCCAGTACAGCGTATGTGGTTCTGACCAGCGTAAACCTCTTCATTGGCATCAATGGGAGTGTGGCCACTTTTGTCCTTGAACTTTTCACCAATAATGTGAGTTC